GCACTGTCAGACCCCCCGCCGCCGCGCCGCGGATACCCCTGCCCGCCCCGCGGCCCGCCTCCTCCCATTGGCTACCGCCGCCGCCGGCGGGGCGCTGATTGGTCCTTGCCTCGATCCCTGATTTGCATAGGGCTCGCAGCGCCCGGGCTCGGCAGCGGGGCGGGCGCCGAGGGCAGCGCCCGGCGGGGAGCGACCCGGCTCTGCCCCTTGCTCCGGGGGCGCCCCGCTCCCAACCGGGACGAGCCAGGGCTCCCCAGCACCCCCCTAGCTCCTTTCTGGCTGCGCAGGGGACGAGGTGGTGGTGGTGGTGGGATGGCCGAAGCCCCCCCGGCTCCCTGGGCAGCGCTGCTCCTCACCGGCTGCCCCTTTTGCGTTGCCCAAATCCACAGCCCCCCCCCAGGCCCCCTCTTCTAGGAGGATGCCAGGGCCTGCGGGCCGGGGGGTGATCCTCTGGGGAGGGGGAACCCGATAAGGGGGGTTCCCCCTCCCCAGAGCATCCCCCCACCCACACTGCCCTCCCTGCCAGAGCATCAAAGGGAAAAGTTGCTCCCAAGCCAGCTTTTGGGGCTAGGTCACACCGAGTTGAGTGTGGTCATCTCCTTGCCAGGCAGGAGCAACCACTGCAAACGGCATTGGGCGAGCAGCCAGGCTCCAGTTAAACGGTTCAGCAATAACACCTTCTCATTAAACCCTCAGCGTAGGTTTATTTTTTGGTGATGGTGAAGCTTGTGCTTGCAGCCTGGAGGGAGAGAAGCTGTACCCTGCATCTTTGCATCGCCCGTGCCTCCCCAAGGGAAGAATTATGTTCCCCAGAGCAGGGAAAGGTGAGCATCCCTGACTCGTGCTCAGCATCTTCGCTACCTTCACAGCAACTGGAGACCTGAAATGAATTTGAGATGAGCCAGTGGTGACCTTTGGAAAAGCCTGAGCTGCAGTTAGCACTGAGCAGGCCAGGGCAGCTGAGCTGCTCACCTGGGGGAGTGATGGGCAGGCAGGGAGAGAAACCTCCCTCGTGGCTCCTGCAAGGACTGAGCTGAAGTGCCTGAAGACCTATTTATTCTTCCAGGAGCTGCTAATGCAACGACTCTCATGCCTCAAGTCACAGTGGGAGCCGTGAGGGGCCAGCGAGCAACAGGCTTTCTGGCTGGAAATCCTAATCCCACCCCAACTTCTCATAAACCAGGAGACCTTCTGGCCTCAGCCGCCTCCATGGCACGTGAGGGATTCAGACAGATTTGGCTCCAAGAACCCCTGGGTCTCCCTGGATGCCTGTCCTGCAGCTCCTGCTCTGGCTCCGCTGTGTCTCCCCAGGGACAGATCATTCAAGAGGTGCCCTGAAATAAATCCCTAGGGAATATATTCCATCAGCAAATGGAAATGCTCCAGCAACACGGCCTTGCTTCTATCCTGAGATGTCATCAGCAGGTAGCTGGTCTCTCCCTCAGCAGATGGAGAGGAGATACAGAAACAGGAGTAACGGGTGTGGGGTGGGCAAGGGGGACAGGGACACGCTCACAGACAAAGGCACTACGCAGTCAACCAGTTAATCCCATTTTATTGCTTCCAATACAAATGAAGCACTGCAAGGGTGCCACCGTGTAAGGCTTTTGGTCTGTAACATCTGTCTCTGTTGACAAAATCCCTGACCTCAAAAGCAACGGCCCAAGGCTGTTCTGTAACAGCACTTTGGTTATCTGGGCTTTAATGAATGACCTTTACGAACAAGGCAGAGCACATCCCTCCACAGATCAAGAAAATCCTCTCTAAGTCTTCAAATCCCATTAACAAAAATGATTGTCCAAACAACGTGACCAAGGCAGGCTGTCCCACCCCGCTGCCCGCAGGGAAACCCGAGCAAAGTCCAGTTCCTCCCCAGCGCCGTGTAAACATCTCCCTGGTCAGGAGCCACGCACGTACGTGGCAACGGTGGTGCAGAGTGGGGATGACAACCCCAGATCTTCCCAGCCTGGGGTTTCCCCCTAGTATTTATTTCATGTTCCTCTGTACCGCAGCCATTTTTTGAGGGCAAGAGTATTAGAAATTGTATAGAATCCATATGGAATTAAATGGAAAAGAGGTATCAGTTTAATAGCAAAAAAAAAGAAAAGGAAAACAGAAGAAAACAGAAGGAGACAAGAAAGATGAACACTGTCAGAAGGCAGAAGCTGCTCCTCCCCAGCAGGCTGAGATGTCAGGGCTTTATCTTCACTTGGCACAAGTGACTGGCAGGGAGGGAGGCCAGCAGGTTATATTCACTCCCGTCAGCACAAGACAAACCCAAAACCCTTAAAGACAAAGACAAACCCTTAACAAGACACAAAGAACAGAGATAACAACCTAGAGCATCGGATCAACACCTGAGAGACTCGGAGAATCCTGAAACCAGTCTGCAAAACCTTCCAAAAAACCATTCCCCGTTCTGCTTATGAAAACCAGAAGGAAAAAGGATGGCCAGCCATCCCAGCTGGTGCCTAAGCCTTGCGCTTCTTCGCAACCGGCTCCCCCTCCTTCCCCAGCCACTGCTGCAGGATATTTGCACTGCTTTTCTTTGGTGAAGGGCTGTGGATGAACTGACTTGTCCACTTCGGCAAATCATTTTCTTTCTTCTGGGGAGAGCCCTCCTGGGAGTTTTTTAACCAGTTGAGCATCGTTTTGCTGCTCGGGGTGGCCTTGACCTCCTGGAGAGACAAAAGACAGTGGGAGGGAAGTCAGAAGCACAGTGAGAGCAGGACAGGCAGCCGACCCCGAGAGCTGGTCCAGAGCAGGATGTGGCAGCTGGAGCAATCGGCACATCTGCAGGGGGTTCCCTGCGCTGCCGGGAACAGGCTTGTTCCAAGCCCCATTTCACATGGAATTTGCCTCATTTGGCAGAGAAATCCTGGCACGGGTTGACAGTTTATTTCTGGAAGTGGAAGGAAGGGAATCTGTTCGTGGCACTGCACTCCAGCACCAAGCCCAGGTATGCTCTGCAGATGCTGTGCCTCCTGCAGCCTGGCAGCACCGTCCCTGCTTGGGGACATCACTCTCCCCCACCAAGCCCCCACCAGCGCTCACCTTCTTGGCTCCCAGCTCGATGGGTGCAACACACTCGGGCGCGTTGTTGCGGACATTGTTGACAAAGGTAGACACGGGGTGGAAAACGACGTTCTCCGTGGGCTGGATGAGCTTAATGGCTTCTTGGGTTGGCACTTCAGCAAAGTCCAGCCATTTCCTGATGGCCTCATCCCCATCCAGGATGGCTGGCATCCTGGGGGGACACGACAGTCAGAGCCAAAGCCCCGTGCCGATATGGCACAGCGGGGTGGCAAAAGCTGGGATTATAAATTGGCACGAAGCTGGCAGCTCGACAGGGGGGGAGGGGAACCAAAGCGGTGGGATGCTCTTCTGCAAGGCAGAGCACGCACTCGCTTTGCCCAGGCAGCTGCTTTGCTGGAAGAGGCAGAGGGGTTGGACTGCCAGGGTCTGGGCAGGCGGAGAGCGATCCAACACCTCCAGAGAGCGATCCAACACCTCCAGAGAGCGATCCAGCTCTGACCACCACCCGCCAGGGCACAAGATGGTGATTTATGGACAGGCCACAAACCAGTGACCCGAAACAAGCTGGTAATGTCACAGCATTTGTCTCCCAGGGCACAGGGGGGGAGGGGAACCAAAGCGGTGGGATGCTCTTCTGCAAGGCAGAGCACGCACTCGCTTTGCCCAGGCAGCTGCTTTGCTGGAAGAGGCAGAGGGGTTGGACTGCCAGGGCCTGGGCAGGCGGAGAGCGATCCAACACCTCCAGAGAGCGATCCAGCTCTGACCACCACCCGCCAGGGCACAAGATGGTGATTTATGGACAGGCCACAAACCAGTGACCCGAAACAAGCTGGTAATGTCACAGCATTTGTCTCCCAGGGCACCAGGAGGTGGCAGGGCTCCCTGCCTGCTCCAGACCAGCTTCCCAGGCACAGCTTTCCTCCCTTGCCCCCCCTGCCCGGCTCTCACTTGCCTGTGATGGATGAAGCTGACGTCCTTGGAGGCATCCACGGTGATGATGGTGTAAGTGTACAGCATTTCTCCTCCCGATGGTGGCTCCCAGCAGTCGAAAATCCCAGCCATGGTGAGCAACCTCCAGCCTCTCCATTCCTCGTCTCCCTCCTTCTCCTCGCCTCCCTCCTTCTCCTCGGCCTGCAGGAGATAGGCCCCATCACCCCGCTCAGTGCTGATGCGCGGGCAGCCGAAGCATCACAGACTTGCCAGTGGCATGGTGGGTCAACCACTCAGATCTAAGTCGTGAACTGCGCTAATTTGAGGGCTTTTCAGGAGCCCTAATAATTTGGGGTAACTCCAGGAGAAGTACTAGGAGCCTCATCCCCCGCCAGGTCAAGCCAGGACCCTCCTCCCCTCCTGAACATCCCGGCCACCAGCTCGGCTGAAGGAAAGAGGTAGCGAAACTCCCAGCCTGGTCCCCTGCGAGACGCATGGCCCACCCATGCAAATATCTGGCACGGGGGGAGCAGCCAGCGTGACGGCGGGGACGCTGCGGCTCCGGTGACAGCCAGGGGACCGCAGCCGCGGGGACCGCAGAGGGATGCCGGGGTGCTGAGGCCACCACGGAACAGAGCCCCGCTGGGAAACGGAGACCCCCAGAGATGGGCACGGCTGGAGGGAAGGGGGCTTTTCCCAGGGCAGCCGGGGGAGCAGGGGCTCAGAGCTGGGTGTGAGCGTTCGGACGTGACAAGGGACCCCCGTACCACAGCGTCCTTGGTCTGGGGGAAGTAAATGAAATACGGCTGCTTCCACCCGCTCTGCTGCTGCTGCCACTCGTAGAAGCCATCTGCCAGCACCACGCAGCGCTTGCCCTTCAGGAGAGCACCCTGGGGGAGAGAAAACAGGAGCGAGCTGTGGACAGCAGCCCCCACAGCCTGCGAGGAAGGACGGGGGCTGCTGGGACCCCCCTGCCCACCCGCTCCCCTCTGGGGCTCCCCTAAGCTGCCCCACAGGGTGCACAAACGCCAACACCAGTGCTGTGATGAAAGATGAGCTTCACCAGCAACAACCTTTCCAGTTTTCTTCTATTTTAATGAAATCTGCCAGCTCGGCAGAACGGGGACTGAGCCCCCTGTGCAGCAGGAGACTGGTACTCACCGGGGAGATGCTTCGGCTCTGGGTTTGCCGACTATGCGACCTCTCCAAGCTGCACACAAAGAACAGCAGAAACTCACCTTGTAGGAGGACTTCTTCAGCATGGTGTCGCTGCGGCAGTTGGAGGTATTAAACTGCATTTTGGAGGGGTCGTCGTTTTTGAACCAGGAGGGAACCAGGCCCCAGCGCATGTCCATGAGGACCCGCTCGGAGGAGTCGGCATCCTTTCGAATGAGATGGAGAAACACCTCAGGTCAGAGCCACGTCGCAGGGACCATGGGCGTCCCCACAGCTTGGGAGAGGGGCTTCGTGGAGCCCTGGAGAAGTGGCTTCTCCCCCTGCCAGGAGGGGACAGGCCACTGTCTCTGCCGAGAACCAAGCAGGGGCTCGCAGTCCCCCCAGCACCAAAGCTGCTCTTCTGCAGGAATGCCTCTCACAAGCCATGCAGAAACAGCCACTAATTATAACTCTTTGCATATTCTTAACGGCTTTCCTGTGAAAATTAATCTTCAGCAGAAAGCCTAAGAATATTTTGCAGGAATAACTAACTAGGTGTCTGGGTGAGGCTCGCCCGACAGCCCTGGAGGAGTGAAAGCAATTTTCCTTCAGCAATTTTCCTTCAGCGGGAAGTGCCTGGACACGTGAGCTCCCCAGCCCTTCAGTAAACAGTTATGTCACGCTCCAAGGTCCTCAAAACTTTTCTCTTTAAAGCGAGCGTCCCACGGGACGTAGGCTTCACCTTCATTTTAATAACGTGATTTCTGCAGGCCGGCTTCACTTTCACTCCTTGCGCTTTGTATGTCGCCCGCCTTCGGACTATGAAAACACCTTGTGGCTTTCACTTCTCCCCCAGCTCCCTCCAGCTTTCTGCCCGTGGCCACCAGCCCCACACCAGGCACAGCCGGGGCCAGCGAGCCCCCCGGGCCCCCTGCCCCCAAAGAACCGCAGCAGAAATGTATATATCCCTACTATAGGGGTGTATATACATAGAATCATAGAATCATAGAATCATTGAGGTTGGAAGAGACCCTTGGGATCATCGAGTCCAACCATCTACCCTACTCTACAAAGTCCTCCCCTACACCATGTCCCTCAGTACCGCATCTAAACGTCCCTTAAACACATCCAGGGACGGTGACTCAACCACCTCCCTGGGCAGCCTGTTCCAATGCCCAACCACTCTCTCCGTGAAAAATTCCTTCCTAATGTTCAATCTAAACCTACCCTGTTGGAGCTTGAAGCTGTTCCCTCTCGTTCTATTGTTAATTACCTGTGAGAAGAGACCAGCACCAACCTCTCTACAGTGTCCTTTCAAGTAGTTGTAGAGAGTGATGACATAGAGAGAGAGTGACATATAGGGACACGGATGCGCCCAGTTTTGTGAAGTCTTCCAGAGCCTCCCGCAGATGAGGAGTGGCAAAAAGGGGCACCTCACGCTGCGTAAACAGCGTCCCGACAGCTGGACAGAGAGGGACAACCGAGCAGGCGCCTGCCTGTGACCTGTATCACCCTCCCAGCCCTGTGTTCCTCTGCTCCACCAGCTCATCGGCTGCTCTTGGGGGGACCCGGGACCCCAGGGCAGGAAGGATGCCTGACAGCATCACCCGTGGCACTCCAGAGCAGCCCCACCGTGGCGTCCCACCCCATCCCCTGTGCCGGTAACGGCCGTGGAGCGCGGTGGCCCCTTTTGCTACCCCACCGGCCCGGGGAGGAAGAGCGGGGGGAGCCCAGGTTGGGGTGTTTCGACCCAGTGCACCCAGCTTCACCCCGCTGAACACGAAAGAGCAGCAGGTCCCCGGGCCCCCCCCCCCCCCGCTGCGGAAGCTGAAGGGTCGCCGGCCCCCCCCCCCCCCCGCTGCGGAAGCTGAAGGAGATGCACAAACGGTCGTAGGGGCTGCTCAGGTTGCCTGGGGAAGGTCTGGTGGGGCTTAAATTAGCCGGGATAACGGTCACCGCAGGTGTACGGTTATCTCACAGCTCTGAAGTTGAGACTTTTTTCTCCCTCCCCTCCCCTCTCCATGCCACCCGGACACTCTCAGCAGCGTTATGAAATAAATAAAAAAAAAAAAAAAAAAAAAA